GAGGATTAAAAAAAATTGAATTTGTTTTCCATGTAGCACTACACTCCAAAATTTAACATCAACTATCGACTATCATTGTTTCGAAATACCTTCAGAGATCTGATTCAGATTTGCAAATGATGCAGAATTTACTCGATGGAGCTTACGAAGAATTGAAGACTGTTCGGAATCACAATGGTGATATGAAAAATGACACACTAACATTATCCAAAGTCTGGACAATAGAAGTGAAAGGGTAAAGAAAGGGGAAGAAAAGGGTACCTGATAAGGTAAAAAGTACATAAAACCAAATGACATATCCAGTAGTTACACTGTAACTAACGATTTTTGAAAGGTTTCTTAGCTTCTGTCACACCTACCACACCCTTCTACAGCCAAAAATGGGCTTTTTTTATTTTAATTTTTTTGTCCACTTAACACTGTCTTAAATTCAGGAACAAGCTCGAAAAAAAATCTCAAAAGTTGCTCTTAAAACACAAATTGTTGTGAATTGTTTTTGGATTTTTTCATCTAACCAGACTAGTTAAAAATATAAAAAACATTTTTACCATTTTCCCCTCCTTTAAATTGCCTTGATTTAAGTACACTTTGAAAATGACTGCAACAGTTCTGTGCATTTATTTTAGCGATTGTAAAACATTTGTATACCTTTATATGTAAATATGTCACGCTAAGGAAGGATGATACTTTTTTTGCAGTCTGGATATTTTTTGGCAAACTATGAGCAGAAAAGATAATTTCTTTTCTGTAATAATTTATTGTTACAAATGTTTTTACTCTAAAATTAAGTTTATTATCACAAATTATTGAAACTATTGAAAATTAAATTAATGATAGGTCATTAACTAGTGTAACTAGGGGACCCCCCCCCCCTCTAATTGTATCGGTCCAAGGGCCTCCTCTGTTGAACTTACAACCGATTTAAGTGAAATGAAGTTTACTATTTGATATTCTACGCATCCTAATCGCTCAAGTTTAAATAATTATATTTGGTCATATATGCTTAAGAATATATGTTCACTTGTGCACAATACTTGGCACAGCTTATTTGATTGACAAATATGAAAACCTGTTTGATGTGTGGGGGAGGAATTTCTCTTAGGTTTAGAAGCAAAACAAGGAGTATCAGCATAAAGGAGTCTTACCTCTGTGGCCTCACCATTTAGTTACTGAATAAAAACAGGAAGAAGAAAATAAAAAATAAAGAAAGAACAAAAAAACCGAAATGGAGTAATTTATCCTAGATTGCAATAGTAGTTGTAATTGGTATTGCTGCAGTGACAGCAAATATGTTTAGTCTTTTATAATAAATAATTCAAAAAGGAAAAATGCATCATTATATTTTTATTATTATTTTTATTTTTATTATTTTATCATCATTATCGTTATCATCATCATTATCGTTATCATCACCACCATCGTCGTCATCGTCATCATCACCATCATCACCATCGTCATCATCACCATCATCACCATTATTATTATTATTATTATTATTATTATTATTATTATTATTATTATTATTATTATTATTGAGTCCTTTATGATGTGTCAGTTCAAAGCATGGCCATTTGAAGTGGGAATTAAAATGAAGCTGTTTCATTTAACGCTAATACGACGATATAAATTGATGTTGGTATATACAATAGCGGCAAACTCGGACACCGATTGACCAATATTCCTGAAACTTTGCACATCTCGTGTTTTTCACCAAGGTTAGAGAGAGAGAGCAAGAAAGAGAGAGAGAGCAAGAAAGAGAGAGAGAGCAAGAAAGAGAGAGAGAGAGCAAGAAAGAGAGAGAGAGAGCAAGAAAGAGAGAGAGGGCAAGAGAAGGAGAGAGAGGGCAAGAGAGAGGGCAAGAGAGGGCAAGAGAGGGCAAGAGAGAGGACAAGAGAGGGCAAGAGAGAGGGCAAGAGAGGGAGAGAGGGGAAGAGAGAGAGGGGAAGAGGGGAAGAGAGAGAGGGGAAGAGAGAGAGGGGGGAAGAGAGAGAGAGGGGAAGAGGGGAAGAG